CTATTAGATCAGATCAGCTCTTTTGAAAGGAGCTGTTGAAAAAGTTCAGCTCATGAACGAGAGCTGTTCAGACCAATCAGCTCCTACCGAAATGAACTTTCGAACAGTTCCTTCGTTCAGAGCTAGAGCTGAACTATTGCCCCCCTAAAGATGAGATCAACTCATCTAATTCAGAAGATGAAATGATTAAAGTTACACACGCTCTACGGGTTGAATTGAATATCAGCGACAGATCTTCAACAAATAATAGCGAAGAAAGTATTAGCAAGGAAAGTGAAAGTGAAGAAAAAGTTGAAAATAATAATCGAAAATCAAAAAAAAGAAAAACATTGCATTGGACAAAGAGAAACTTTGTAACTCCAGCTGCTGATTTCGGCGACAACTTATCACCACCACCTGACAATGACGAACTAGAACCAATTGATTATTGTCATTTTATGTTTGGCAAACAGTCCATATCACTTTTGACAAATCAATCAAACTTATATTCTGTTCAAAAAGATCCTAACAAACCGGTACGTATTTCGGAAACAGAAATGGCACAGTTCATTGGTATTTTGATGATGACTGGCATATATGCTTTTCCAGAGCAACGTTTTTTTTTGGTCAAGTACTACGCGTGTAGAATGTATATCATCAGTTATGAGTCGAGATAGATTTTTAGAGATAAAAAAATATTTACATGTTGCTGATAACTCAGTTCAGCTAGATAGAGACGATCCGAATTTTGATCGAGCTCATAAAGTTCGGCCATTATTGAATATCATAAAAGAGAACTTCAGAACAATTTCAAAGGAAGAAAAATTAAGTGTTGATGAACAAATAAAACCATTTAAAGGTAGAAGCATAATGAAACAGCATATGCCAAATAAACCAAACCGTTGGGGTTATAAAATGTTTCTTTTAGCTGGTGGAGAAAGTGGCATTTGCTATGATTTCGTCTTTTACACCGGCAAAGGAAATAAACAGGAGCATGGATTTTGTACAGACATTGTTCTGGATCTTTGCGAAACGGTTCCACGTTTTATAAACCATAAATTATATTTTGACAATTATTTTACAACTATTCGTTTACAAGTAGAGTTGAAAAAATTAGGTATTTTTTCAGTTGGTACAGTAAGACCAAATCGATTGCTTTATCTAACTATGAAAACTGCCAAAGATTTATCAAGTAATGGTAGAGAAGCGATGGATCATCGTGTCACTGAGGTTGAAGGTGTTGAATTATGTGTTACACGGTGGTATGACAATAATGTTGTTAATTATCTGTCTACATTGCATGGTTGTCAACCGATTGACTCGGTGCAACGATGGTCATCGAAAGAAAAAACACATGTTCTCATAGCACGACCTAATGTCATAAAAGCATATAATGAGCATATGGGAGGAGTCGATTTAGTCGACATGTTAATTTCGTTGTACCGTATAAATGTTCGCTCCAAAAAATACTATATAAAAATCATATTTCATCTTATAGATTTATCAGTGGTAAATGCGTGGCTGTTGTACCGACGCCACTGTTCACAATTAAAACTTCCGCAAAAGAATGTTATGTTTTTATTATCTTTTCGTATTAACGTTGCTAGCATTTTGCTTAAATCAAGTCCACCATCACCGCCGATTATAAAACGTGGTCGACCATCATTAGAATCACGAGCAAAATTGAATGAAAACCAATCTACAAATACTTTACGAACTGCACCTACTCCTATTCCACATTCAAGTACTCGATTTGACAAGTTTGATCATTGGCCTATCACCACATCAAAAGGTCGTTGTCGAGATTAGGGGGGCAATAGTTCAGCTCTCGCTCTGAACGAAGGAACTGTTCGAAAGTTCATTTCGGTAGGAGCTGATTGGTCTGAACAGCTCCTTTTAAAAGAGCTGATCTGATCGAACAGCTCTCGTTCATGAGCTGAACTTTTTCAACAGCTCCTTTCAAAAGAGCTGATTTGATCGAACAGCTCCCGTTCACGAACTGAACTTTTTTTTAACAGCTCTTTTCAAAAGACCTGATCGATCAAACTACCTCTTTTGTACAGATTTGTTTAAAAAAGATCAGCTTAAAACGAACAGTTCTTGAGCGAGAGCTGTTCGATCAGATCAGCTCTTTTAAAAGGAGCTGTTCAGACCAATCAGCTCCTACCGAAATGAACCTTCGAACAGCTTTTTCGCTCAGCTCAGCTGAGCTTTTGAGCTTGAGCTGATGCACCCCTACTCATCTTCACTCAAACCATTTGGCACGACAGTATTTCTTGTAGAAACTCTTCTCTTAGCCATTGTTAAATACTTGTTTATGAATAGTAGTTCTTTTTGTACGCAGGAATATTCAACAGACAATATTCCTCTGACCATTTATTATACAAGATAGATAACAAAATGACAATTTTTTAATTTCACGTTACAATTTTAAAAAAATACACGTTATTTATAGAGATACGTCTTCTCTATGGTATCATACAACATGAGAACAGAACAATGCCAAAAACGAACGAATGAAAGAAACGAAATGTCTGTCACCAATGTCGATATTGTGTGATAGATGGCACAAGTGTTTTTAATAAAACCGATAACGAATATGGAACATTTTTTCTCATGGAGCAGCAGGAAGTTGTGTTGTTCTTACGAGGCCACAATTATCTCAATTAAGAATAATTTTCGCTAATTTTTATAGTGTGTTTGATGTAATCCATTATTGTACAGCATGATCGAGGCATAGAAGGACTATATCGTTTTCAAACGCAGTATTTCAGCATGGGATTGTAGTGTAGAGTTTTATTTTAAACATTGGTGAAGAAATATGATTTCAGAAGTTTTTGTCTCTTTTCGGCCGGCTGTTGCCAAATGGCAACATCATTGTATCCTATTCGTACCATACAAGTAGTAATCATCGTCCAGGGCGTTATATATAGCCACTCTACTGAGGAAAATTATCCACCGATCAAATCTGACATTAAGCAGTTAGTGCTAAACAAATATCATTTTAAAAACTCAGATGCATTTTTGGGTCATTTTAAGACGATTGAATCAATATCTCAATGAAATGACTTTCTTTATCTTTTCGATATTCAACAAGTGTAGAAATGTGCTACGGGAATTGTCAGATTATAAAAACGATATATCTCATTCGCATTAGCAAACTCTTCATCGAATACTGAGTGAATGTTGCCATTTGGCAACATCCGACCGGAAAGGGTTAAATATAAATGCAAACAGCGCATATATTGTGAATAAACTTTACATAAGCACATTCTTACATCTACAATTATTTTAAATTTCTCGCTGGTCTTTATTGAAGTAGATAACAGAAGAAAACATTTTCAAAGAAAGCAAATTCATGTTAGTGGAAATACAGGAAACATAAAATGTTTATGCGATGCGCGAAAAAAGAACCATAATGAACGAGAGTGATATCGTATGAAGGTGCAGAAATTAATAAGGAAAAATAAAATGTAATTGAACATGTAAGAGTGTTTGCTTTGCTTCATTCATCCACTGCTTGAATATGTACCAGCATTGGTATTGAATGTCAGGGTCATTGTTGGACTGTTTTGTGATAGTGAGCCAACTGGTACAGCTCCTGATGTATCCACCGAATATGTCATGCTGGGACCACTTCCAGAAGCTGGATTGGGAACAAAACAAAACATAGTCAAACATGGTTAACAAATATAAAAAACACACTTACACTGAACGCCAATGGTAGCTGAAGAACCTCCATCAGACGACTGGAAATATGAATAGGCCACGATATTGGGTGATGACTCGTAAAACACTATTTGGAAGTGGTAATATAGAGTTGGTCCACTGAAGTGAGCCATGTAGAACTCAAAGATCATGTTTCTATTAGGATATGTACCTGTTGTACCATAGTAGACGCTTTGAGATGTACCTGCATATATATAAAGGTCATCCCAATAACCAAATGCTGTTGGTCCACTAAAGCTACCACTTGGTAAAGGTCCGTTTGTGTAAGCACTGGAGCAGCCGGACAGACAGACACACTGTAAGTAATATACAAGTTTTACTGTGTAGAAAATTCCTTAAGGTAAACCCAAAGAGTCTTCTAATCTCTCGAATATATGAAATTTTTCGCGTAGTATAATTTCGATTCAATTTTCTACCAGTGTTATTTTCGAACGGATACGAAAATATCTAAACGGCCAAGAGTAAAGAGTTCTGATTTTGTTACATATATTAGTTCTTAGTTTTTGATGCAAAGAATTTACTTTACTTTAACAGATGCAGGGAGAGTGTCATATAAATCACGTTGAATGAGTACATGGAAATCTAACATATAATAACTAAAGAAGCAATGGATGAATTTTGTATTAGTAATCGAGATAAAATATGAAATCGATCTTAGAAAAAATCAAAACTCTCCAGGCATAATAGGGATTTCACCTGTGATTGGGATGATAAGGTGACTCCTGTCTGACAAGCTTCCAATAAACATTATTTCCTTTTTGTTTTTGCACTATGCAATCTACCTTATTAGCTTTAATATATATAGAACGATGAAAAAGATGACTTGTGTGGGAGTCGAACTCGCACCTTCTGTTATTTGGGCAGTTGTCCTAAACCAATTAAACTAGAAGGCACAACTTAGTTTTCGTTTAGCGCTAGTGTGATCTAACACTGCCGCTAACGTACGTCACGTTTCCTTACATTAGAAGTGTTCAAATTCTCCTACTACATGTGCAATGAGACTTGTGTATATTTATTCAAGAAAATAAGAACGATTTGCTGTTGTTAGTAAGGTCGCACACGGAAAAACGCACGCATATACTTCTAAATACATTTATAGAGATATTAATTATATTCAGTTATTTATTTTAGTCTTATTACTGTTGTCCCCTGAAAATATTTGTAAAAACTGAATCAAACGTGTTCAAGCTAAAAAATACCTTAACGATAACAGCTCTCATCTGGATCGAGGCGTTCATATATAGTTTTTGCAAACTAGAAAAACAGATTACTACTCAGTGTTATTTAGTTAATACTTGTATTATTGAATTTCTCTTATAGGAGAACTTTAGAATATATTTCAAGTACAATAACGGTTGAATGTGAAGAATATTTGATTTTACATGTTTTTCTGAGAGAATTTTTTCTTTTTGTAAGAAACAAAGAATACTATTTTGATAGTTAGACTTCGTACGCTGGTACATAACTATTTTATATCTGCTAATTGAAATGTTTTTGGAAAAAGATCAACCTAAACTATACTTACGCCATTACTCTGAACGGACGCACTCGATGTGACGTAGCCATATAATGATATGGAGAATGGCAGACTAAGAGTCACATAGGCATCATCGACATTAACTGTACCTCCCCAACCAGGGACTGTGACACCCCCTGTAAGCTGTACGGCAGGTGCGCCACTGCAAGCTCCATTTGAGCAACTTGTATATGATGAAGCACAAACATAACCAATGGAGCCACAGTTATTGAAATCGATGAGGAGATTGACACATGAGCCAGATGGCGTTCGAACATATCCTGTAGGACAAGCAGCTGAGGCTAAAAATCATATATGTAATTATACTAAAGGTTGTCAAGTCAATTGTCTGAGAAAAATACTGACTTGTTGTTGTTGTTTGGCTGGTTGTTGTTGTAGTTGTTGTTGCAGTTGTTGTGGTAGTAGTCGTAGTTTTCGTTGTCGTGGTGGTAGTTGTTGTTGTAGTTGTTGTGGTAGTCGTCGTTTTAGTTGTCGTGGTAGTTGTTGTTGTCGTTGTTGTTGAAGTAGTACTCGTTGTTGTCGTAGTGGTTGTAGTCGTAGTGGTCGTTGTGGTTGTAGTGGTAGTGGTCGTTGTTGTTGTAGTTGTCGTCGTAGTTGTTGTCGTTGTTGTAGTGGTTGTAGTCGTAGTGGTCGTTGTTGTTGTAGTTGTCGTCGTAGTTGTTGTCGTTGTTGTTGTCGTAGTGGTAGTCGTAGTCGTTGATGTGGTACTAGTTGTTGACGTTGTTGTCGTCGTTGTTGTTGCTATCATAAGTAAAAGCAAATACATTTAAAATTCTGCTTGAAATGCCTGACTTAGTATGAACTGTTAGAATCGCTTCATCTTGTTATTAAGTATCGCGTGACCCAATGAGGGAAAAGCGGATCCCAGGATCCATTGGAATCCGGGATCCGCTCCCCCCCCCTTGGCGTGGCCTTTTAACTAAAAAGTTTTAAATATACTTATTGTAACGAGTATTGTTCTGAAAAATAAAAGTTAAGCGAGGATATTAGTATAGCAGTAGATGCTTCAGGCAATACTTTGCATGAGAAAAAGTGTACAGAAGGATACAGGGAAAGTAAAAGGTAAATTTCACAGGATTGTTTAGATAAATCAAAGTAGGAATATCTCGCTCATAGGGATATCTAGAAAAAAGTAGCTGTGTGATGAAGTCATCGATGAAAATCATCCCAACTAGTATAAGTAAGAAAAAAGAATATAGTTTACCAAATTTTCCGTACCGATGATATTTTCATGCAGTCAAAGTTAGTTTAGTAATAACTGAATGATCAAATAACAAAAATATAATGAAGAAGGTGTTTAGGTATTAATTATTGAATCGTTTTCCTAGTGTCATCTCTAATCAGTAGCATTTATATTCGAATGCATCAATCTACTCAATATTAATTGTAAAATTCTTCGGTTCTTAAATATTCTTTTAAATGATTTTTAATAATAACTTTGATGATATCAACAAAATGAGCTATATTTTAAGATCTATATTTTTGAAAAATAATAAAGCAATAATGTTCAATTTTAGAAAAATTCAGAAGAAATGATAGAACTTGGGTTTGGGTGAGTGAAGAGAATAACCCTTTGTCCATACTTGCACTGACACGCTCACATCGATACACTCATATCCTCAAATATTTAAATTTAAATCTTAATGTTGCTGATTAACATTTTTGTTAAATACAGTTAGGGGGCAAGTGTCGGGACAGCAAATGTCACTTGGGAGCAATTATTCGGGGAGCATCTTGCCGGGATTCGTCTAATAAGATCACTAACTATATAAATTACAAGAAGACTTCAGAGTTTAGAAGCATTTTCATGGAAACCTCAAATTAGGCATTATATGATATTTTCATTAGTAAACTGTAGAAAATAAGCCATCTGACATATGAGCTAACACAAAACAAATTATTACTGAATAAAAATAGATTACTCACCAGTCGAAGTGAAATAAATGATCGGACAAGCAACAGCAATCAGCAATACTGCTAATGTGATGCCGACAAAAATAACTTGTAAAATTGTTGGTAAGCCTTTGGCCTTGCTGATTCTAGTTCGAAATATTTTTTAATTAAGGGTGAAAGATGAAAATCAAGAGAAGATATACCCAGTGTCTGGAATTTCAGGAACTGATTCCAAATCCGTCTTAATATTTCGAGCAGTTGCTGGATTAGATGAATTGCCACTTAGATTTTCGTCCGAACCGTTTCCTGACGTCGTCTGAACATAATAAAATATATTTAAAACGTGATATTACCAAAACGAAAGCAAACAGGAACAAATGATACTTGATCAAAATTTGAGAAGTGCAAAATAGAAATCTTTCTCGCCGCTTCATCAGCCATCGCTTCCGATTATTTGTCGTAGCTTGTTTGAGTTTTACTCTGTTAGATCTTTTCAAACTGTTTATGAATTCATGCCCGAACAAAACAATAAGTAAGAAAGAATGATGGCAATCCAATTTGTGTCAGGAGAAGCATATTTATTTTCACTGCGAAATAAATAGAAGGATACATCACATGAATTTCTTTTTTGTTTCTAAGCATACAAGAAAGCATAAGTGACTAGTTGAATAAGATGTATTTTCATCATATTGATGTATTGAAATCGTAGATACATTGCTTCGTTTAAAAAAGTACACTTTTTTCTTCAAGCGTAATTCTCTGAACAACATACTTGTAGCAATTAATAAACCTTTCAATTTTAAAAGAACGCTTTTGCTTTATTTTTCTTTCGCCTTTTCAATAAGTGAATCATAGTGAAAAAATGTGTGCTATAGAATTTGTGCGAGATAGATGAAACATATAGATGCAGATCGATACCAGCTGTAACAAAATCGATTTTTATCGATGTAGGTGTGAGTGCAATTGAGGACGAAAAATGATTTTTTTCACAAATAGATATAATATGGACTTTAAACAAAAAAGGTTTCGTAGGAGATGGTTCCGACCGTATGCCAACGATCAGATGCTTTTAAGGTTTCGTAAATTCTAACAGCCGCTTTCTCAAGCCTTTCAACGTATTTGGAAGCTTTTAGGCACCTGCGAAACCTTTTTGGGGGGTTCGGTAAAATCATCTTTTTTGTTTAGGGTGTGGAACGAAGCATGAGGAAAAAATTTTGTCTGATTGTCTCAATCTAGTGTTGCTAATTTCCGTGGCTAGCTTGAAGTATAAGAGTTTCGTATGATACAAATTTTAATTCTAAACGAATGCTATAGAGTGGTAGATCCAAATGACATCACTACTTTTGAAATGTTCCAGTAAAACCTCTATATCTCCGCTTCTTGAAGTTTATTTGAGCTGATTTTTAGATTGCGGAATAGACAAAACATTTTTCTATCGAATTGTATGATTTTCATCAAGATACGATTCGCTTTGAGTGAGTAACAATAAAGAAACAAACACATACTTTCGTTTTTGTTCCGTTCTGTCCATGTTTTAATGCCATCATTGAAGTCATTCTTCTTTCTCAATTCCATCATTTCCAGCAAAAACATATAAATTTTGTTAAAAAACTTATTTTTCGAGTGGAAGGTTGGCATCTTTTCGAGGACAAATTACATCATTTAATTCACTAGATCAAGTACTATCTGTGCCAATAATACATGGACATCCTTTATTGCTCATATATTTGGTATTCATTTTTTGTAATTACCCTGTGGGACTGTCGTGCAGACAGGATTATTACGTTCTCATGTGTGTTATAGAATGTATTATTCTCAACGGATGTTGTACAACCTACTACTATCATTAATGTATCTGATCTTCTTCTTTATATTATTCAGAAATCTTTGCGCGATGTGGTTACGTTTCTGAACGTAATTAATGTAAGATGGAAATGTCTATCATATCTGTTTTCTGTTCTTTCCTTCTGCACTTTCTCTTTGGTGTGCACGTATGTAAAGCGAGTGCATTGTATTATATATCAGAGCTGGAACAGAACTGGAAAATTAGAGAATGGAGTAGTGTAACTAATATCTTATACACCATGGATAGCGGTAACACTACTCTTCCAGTTTCTCTTTGTGATTACCAATAAAAAATAAAAGCTGCAGCAGTAATGAATATAAACTATCCACTTATCATCAAACAATATTTCGTTACAGTATGGTCACCTCATTTTTAAAATTCATGATTCGCTAGTTAATTTTCGGATTTCTATGAAATGCTTGATTTTCGAAATAGTAGAAATTCAAATTTATTCACCGGAAAAACACTATTCGTTGAAAATCGGCATTGATTTTCATAGACTTGAAAAAACCTGGTTGAATTCGCATAGGCATTCCTAGAATATCCTTGATTAAACTCTATAACTTATTTTCTACTTTACAGTGTAGTGGGATAGTTGTGAACGTATATGTATATGTATGTATATAATCGAATTCCAAAAAACTCGTAGAAGTACAGCCTAGTCATAAAGAAAATCTTCATATCTCGTCCGGGTAGGTATCTTTCACCATATCGGTGGCTGATATAAAGAGGCTGGAAATTCTACAAGAATATTATTTTGTTTCGAGAAACTTTGTATATCATCAATTGAGCTTCAGTCTGAATTAGAATGGAATCAAAGAAAAAAAACTAATATGTTTATTTATCTGTTGTTACAGCTCATCTATTTTTAAAATATAAATCAATCTCCGATGAAAATTTATTCATTAGTTTCATTAAGCAACATTATTGTTATCATATCCATTGCATTCTTTACTATTAATCATATCGTGATAAAAGGGAAACAGTTTTTTCATCAAATGTGTCTAAGTAAAATCTTTATTGGGTATTCTTGTTTCACGTAGCTATTGGTAGCTAACAGACGAAATTCAACAAAAGTTAATCTTATTATTTGATATAGCATGTTTTTGAAAATAATATCATGGCCTCTTTTATTTGATTTAAAAAAATGACTTTCAAGGAATAAATCAATGTAATCGGTACTCATCAGGAAATAATGAACAGAAGCAACTTTTATTGTTTCTTATTCAATAAAAAACTAAAAGTTATTCCAAATATACATGTATGCGATTCGTGCCCGTTACTAGAAGCACTGTCAAAAGATTGATTAGAATTATCGATAGATCCTATTGCTTGCAGTAATCGTGTAACTGCGATTTGAAAATAAATAACCCACATGATCATTATCAATCTAAAGTGCTTGGATAATAGATATGATGTGATAGTAAATGTTTGATTAGAGATTTACATTTAATATTCTTATAACATCTGGTTTTTAACTAAATGGCTAATTTGATCCCATTTTCGATTAGAAAATGAATATATTATGAAAATTTAATCAATCGGAAGGCTTACAAAAATATTGTATTTCAAATAGTTGAAAGCGCGATATGCAACTACTATCAAATGACAAATAAATCATTAAGAATCTTTGCTTTATTCTTAGAGTCACTTGCCCTTGGATTCATTGTCTTTTTTAGTTTTTCAAGAAATTAACTAGCACAAGTATACAGTAGAACAATTTAACAATGAATAACATTATATCTATTTACATTTTCGATATGTTCTTTTGATTCACTTGCTATGCATTTCTAGAAAAAGACTTTTCTTTGGTTCACTTTCGTCA